CTTATCCTGAGCACAACAATGAAGAATAGGTGATGTGTGTTCGAATATGTGTGCCGCCGGTTTGGAGTTGGGGTGGCCTATGAGCCTTAGAGCCTTAAGCCCTAGATATCTGAACAACGACGCCATTTGCGCATCATATTCCTTTTCCTGCATCGCGGTGGTCTCGTTCTTTGTATCTTCACTTACTCCGGGCAATATGTATGTAGTATACGGAATATTGGTCTTCGATCGAAGTTGTATAAACACAGACTGGGGTGTCCGCTTATGATTGGACCCAAGTTGTTTCTTGACTTGATGATGACAGCCCCCGCTTGCATTGTAAATGCAGGTATGCAGTTACCTATCTCGCGGACAGACCCCGGCTCATTCCCGATGCCTTGGATACCTCCAATCCAACACCAATTGCCGAGTTGCAGGGGCATGGCCAAAGTGGTAAGTAAGCCTGAGAGAAACTTGGTGGGCGCGTTCCAGTGGAACGGACGGGCTATGAGCGAAGACGCCGTAACGGGCCCGTTTGATGCAACCCTCTTGTGTTGGCTGCATGGTGAGGCTGTTTGTTGTCTCCAAAGCTGTGATCACAGGGCGTTCCGAGAGAGTTGGTTCTAACTTCTGGCGGTCTTTTTGCCTGTGTCTGCAATTCTCGGTTGACTGTTGGAGCTCTACCCGCTGTTTCGCAACCGACGAAGAGTGCTTCATAGCACTCCGTATCCATGCTGCCATTCATGGCTCATACATAGTCCCCAGACAGGCCCTGGTAACCGGGGCGGGGAAGCGGTTATGATGCCCGGTTGACTCTCCTTGGCTGGATTTGGACCAACGAAGGAAGAAAACGAGGTATTTTCCTGCATATGTGCATACCATATGCACTGCCCCGAAGACCTCACGTACATCTGGTGGGCAGCATCGAGTTCAACATCAACACGCGAATGCTAGTGCAGGCATGCAGGCCTGCGTGGCTTGTATGTGTGGCCTGTGGTGTCTAATCACCGTCAGGGTCCTCCGTAGCATTGTCTCTGGGTCGGATCTAGTTCAATTGGAGGCGTGATGCATTGTAAAAGGATTTTCGGGATGCATGTCGAAGACTGCACCGGCTATCCTGGTCCCAGAGAGTGATCGAGGCGGAAGAGGTGCAAAAGTGGAGAGGGGAAGAAATGCAATGGCAAGGGATGGATGGGACTTGGAGCCATGGATGAGTAGGCGCAAAAACAGGAAGGAGCGATGGTAAAATCAGCAAAGGTATCAGATCGTGCAGATCCTGATCCCTCGCGGCATACTTCTGCAACGTCTGGCACTTGAGCATCTACTTCGTATCGCAGATGGAAGTGGCCGCATCATTTTGGGACATCTGAACCTAGCAATACCGGCCAATCTTGGTCGCCACCATCATCGTCATCGCTACTTCCCCACCCCACTGCAATGGGTATGATCCGGAGTATACTCCGCCTTGACTGACAAACTGGATATACTAAACATCATCTTTTTGTCGTCGAGATTCATCTTTCTCGGCCAAGCAAGGTTCGTGCAGCGAGTATCCCTTCTAGACAATTCATCTGACACTTGGGCCAGGCACTTGAGATTTGGTCCCGCGGTCACGAACTATGATTGTTTGAATTCTCCAGCTGGTATCTTGTTCACCGTCTCCTCTTTCCTGTCAAAGGCATGCGGCCTGATATATGGTTGTTAGTCTGTTTTGGTCTTGTTTGCCTGAACCCAAAACGCTTAACCTTGCCGGCACCTATTCGGCCCATGTGCATATCGAAGAGGCTCGTCGTGTGATTCGACGTATCAATGGTACTCTTGGAGAGACTGCAGAATACTCAGTATATTCGTCATCATTGGGTATGCCGCGCTCGGTATGCGGCCATTCATCACAATCACAACCATCGGACAACGCAAAAGCATTCTATTCGAAACCTAGTATGAATGCGGGCTACTTCGTGGATCAGTTTACATCATCTACTTATTGGCCGTACTCGTGAATACAACTCTGTCTACATGCCGCGTAGACTTGGTTGTCCTCTCAGAGCCGTCTACTTCGATCTCACTGTGGGAATTTCCCCATCAAGTTGCAAAAATGCTGCCTGGACATTAACATCCGACGCTTGGTCGACAACTGCCTTTTCTCCAAGCCTGGTTAGGTGCCTCTTATCAATCACGGAAACAACTACTCAGTGTTCATCCGCCTGCTAGACATTCTTCTCCCTCGCTTCCTCAAGGGACAGTTGCATATCCCACAAATGTGTTCTTCATGACATAGTATCCCACACGGAAAGGCCCTCCGCCATGTTACATTATCTAAACGTTTACCGTTGCCGCTAGTGCTGGTGCGGATGCTGGTCACCGGCAGTTGGCATTGGCAAGTCGGGATCAAATGCATATGTCACCATGCGCCATCCGAGACTTCTTAATGATGGCAGGATATATTGTAATTCGTATGGAGCACCAACAGTCTTTATCAGGAGGGAACATCACTGGCCAATTCCTCCACCGACGGGCGTTGCGGCCGCTTGCCGCCTCTCACCAGCAGGACGCCAACAGGAAGCCACCCACGCCTGGCGACGTCGTCTTGGTCCCTTTCACAATCGGCGGCGCCTTGTCCCATGTCCGCTAGCCGTTGGTCCCAAAACAGACAGATCTCCAAACAGCTCCAGCTCTTCGAGGCGCTTGTCTTACCACACCCCCTCCGTCTTCACGGTGCTGCCACCCTGGCCCCATCCTCCCCTCCATTCCTAGGTAGGCTTGAGCGTCTTGGACGGATGTGGCCAGGGCTGTTGACAGGGTCCTTGCCGCATACCTTGCCTGTGTGTCCGGTCTCCCCTCGCCCTACACCCCAAAAGAATGCTCTCTCGACTGGCTCGTCCCGCACCACACCACCTCCCTGAGCTATAGTACACAGACCTTGGCGGTGCGGTGCGATGCCGTTCAGATGCCGTTACTGGATGCTGGTCAAGCCTGCGCCATTCAGAGCTCACTCCTGTTTCCCGGTCCTGTGGAAGTAGCCCTGTTCAAGGTGGCTTGTGCCAGGGCCGTAATACATGATGTATACGGAGTACGGAGTACACTTCACTGTGCTCTGTACTCCGTATGAAGCACAGTACTGGGCATGTATTCGCTCTCAATACATCTCTCAGGGCTCTCTGCCACACCCTCGCCTCTCTTCGCCCATTCTGTTCAGCGCCTCCACCAGGGCAGCATAACAGGGGTTCGCTACCTGTGAGAACCCTGGCACCCATCATACTTGGTGTACGTTATTGGTCCTCGCCATGATCATAACCCAAGGGTGCCACCCACAGTTGTTCAGAACGAAGAAAGATTGTTCCAGCTCTAGGTGTCGCGTACCAGTTGGCTACCCTCTAGCTGTCCCCCCGGTTTAGCTATATTGAACGCACAAGGGCTGGTCGGTGCCACCGCTTCACTCGATCGTTCTCCCTCCAAATTTCTCCCCAACTTACTTACTCCGTACTCCGTACTCCTCTGCCATATTGAATGCTTTCTTGAGCTTGTTGCGGTAAACTTCTAGCTCCTCGCCCACCAGTGGCAGACCTCCTCGCTCCCAAGTTGTCCGTAGTTGGCCTTGGCCGAGGCATTGTGACGGAAACTATCAGTCAGAATTGTCAGTGAGTAGGAGAGCTGGAAGAGAGCAGAGACATTTTCCAGTGCGGGGGGTCTCATCATTCATACATTGCACACTCCCAGCTCAGGACCAACCCATATTGTACGAATACCGGCCGTCTGGTGCTAACCCACCCTTCTACCACCCATCTCGTTATCAGCCATTCCACCCCAAACTTTACTCGACATTCTTTCCTCTCCCTTTCTTACTTATTTCACTTGATCGTCTTGGTCGAGCCCATGCTGCTCTGTTTACCTGGTCCTCACATTCAACAAGCAGGATCCGCCTACCACAAGTCCATCTCAAACGGCCTGGATATTCATGTCATATCAACGACGCACGGAGCTTTTGTCACGTTGCCGAGAAACTACCTCTAATCGTGAGCGTTCTATCTAAACACAGGGATACCTTGAAACTCTTTCCTATCTGCGCCACATAGAGCCTCAGGTTGTGATAGTGACTGCGTCGACATCGTGAACCCCGACCTGCAGGTCAGCTCACACCGACTACTCATTTCGAAACCCTTGCTGCCATTTGTTCTACAGCCCTTATTCACCCAAACGGCAAAGATTGTCTTATACGAGTCTTCCCGATCATCTGGATCACATCTACAGTGCCGCTCCTCTTCGGACAATCGCCATTGCTGTCTGATCAGACTAAACTGAGCATCACACCCAGACGTAACGTCCAGGTCCCTCTATGTCGCCGGGTTTCAAACGATCATGAAATATTGAAGTCATCATATTCAAGCGAGGCGGTCGTTCTATAACTCGAGGCACTAGTTGTTTTCAGACAACAGACTCTGAGGTATCAGGCACGATCAAAATCGTCTTCACGCGGCATTCCCCAGACAGAACAACGACCTGTCCAACCCTCAATACTACCTGTTTCTCTGGTACTCTCACTGGCATTCATTTCGAGTTAATTCTTGTCAAATGTTACACGACATTTACTGAACACGACTGGCATCCTTGGTCGTCGACACGACAAATACTTCAATCACATTGAGCTTAGGACCCGAACATCACGCCAACCTTTGCACGACATGCGATAAATGGGTCTGCCAATACCCTGTCCAATTGTTGTGTACTGTCAAAGACACTGAGCTCTTGAACTTGTTGGTTTCGGAGTACAATTGACAGCCATCCATCGCCTCGCCGGATTGCTCTCTGCCATCGTTGCACCAAACATGTAAGGCGAACACTGTTCGACGTGTCGTAACTACATTAATCGTCGCGCCGCTAACTCCTTAACATAGAACGGCCATTTATCAGTTACTCCTGTGGTTTATCGCTGACGTACCAAGGCTGGCTGATTTGTTGTGACGACTGCTCAGTTTTACTGACGGCTCGAGCCCCTCTGCCGGACTCCCATTCATTACCCAAACATGGTTCGACCCCTCCCGCGGGACGAGTTCCCACGCCAGCCGTCGTTCCAGCCATGTTTTCCTCCTACCACAAGGCATGCCTCATTCTCGCAGGAGAGATATGTTGCCGATGCAGTACAACGACCTGATTCTTTCCTCCAAGACCGCTACGGCCTCGATCCAGGGGACAGTCGCTATCAAGAGCCGTATGACTTGCACCGACGTCAACCCCCAATGGTGAGGCCCGTGTAGAATATTCCCTGGAGTCGTGAATATCGCTAACATGACGACTTGAATCTATACAGGCAATTCCCGAGGCGCTCCGTTCACAGTGTGGGATTGCTGGAAAGCAATACTTCGTTGCCGTTATGAGTGAAGATGGAGAGCCGATGACATATCTCAGCCCACCTCAGAAGCTAGACGCAATCACGATTGGCCAGTTTTTTGACAAAGGCAAATTTCAACAGGTCATGGCTCGAGTTCATTCTGGTAAGATCAAAATATATGCTACCTGGCAAAAGTTGAGGGATGCGCCACACTGGCTTGATGCTGATCATACACCATCCTCTTTTCTTGTAGGCGCTGATCCCATATTGGATAATGGACTGCAACTCGAGGATGCCTCTTTTAGCAGAAGTGGTAGTTTTGGACGTATGCGACCCTCGGATCGACGTCGCAGCTCTATTTTTGATGATTTGGAAGGGCCTACACGATCTGGACGCAAGCGACCTCGACCCCGCCACCCAATCAACGACGACGACGATGTGCCGATGACGGTATCATCACGAAAAGGAATCAAAGTTGGTGATGGTGATGCAGTATGGAACTTCTACGAACAACGGTTCAAGAACTGTCAACAGACTGCGTGCAAGTTGATAGCCAAGGCATGGGTTAAGGCTGTAGAGCCCAAGAAACAATCAACACATCCATACACAGGCAGCGACGAAAAGGCCCCAGATTGGTGGCCAAAGCCATGGGGCCCTACAAAAGACGACAAGGTCAGGCACAAGGAGCCGGATCATTTATATAAACGAGGTGTGTTTGTATTTCGTCCTTGACCAGCAAGGCAAATTTCATTAAAAGCTCACATGGCTATAGAACGAGTCCATCTACTGGCGCATATATTGAGGCTTGTAATTGAGCCCAATGGCAGACAGCATAACGATATTCAAAAACTTGGCCTCAATGTGAAGAAGTTAGAAGAAACAACTGCTGAAGCCCTATCATCATTCTTCATGGACAACGACACCAACGCCAAGAAAAAACCGTATTTAACTGAGATTTTCAAGATGGCCAGGCAAGAAGAACGTTTCAAGAACGGCGAGATTGGTAAGCCCACTAACAGTGCCCGCAGCGCTATGAGCAGTTCCAGTTGTCATTTGTATTGAGCCAGGCATTAACACAATCCACTAGACGGATCCACCGAAGTGTATGTGATGGCGGAAGATAAGCTTCCTGAGAACTATGCCTCCGAAAACGAAGACGGAAATTTTCCCAAGGATGAGGAGGATCATGAATTGCAGCGTCCCAAGGCCAACACGCAGCATCACTGCGCGGTCCAAACGCCAACGACTGGTCCTGGCTCAGCACAAACATTGCACGGTGGCCATGGCCCGTTCACCGGTGAACTACCCGTCCGAGGGCATTCCTTCAATCCCAGCATGTTACCGGCAGACATACCGTCTCAGCCACATACCTTCATGGACAGCAACGGCATCACCGTCACAGATCAAACCTCGGTCACTGCCCCTAGCGGGCCCTTAGCCCTGGACATGGTGACCAGCCCCCACGATACCAGCCGGCGGCCGTCAGTCTTCAGCGAATACGCTAGCCCAGGAGGTAGCAACATGTATGCTCAGCAATGGCAACAGCCTCAGCCTGGGTCAACTGGCCCAGGGCAAGGTTCAATGTATGCATACACCCCTACTCAGGGCAATCCTCAGCAACCCCCCTATATAGGCCAAGGAGTTCCCATGAATCCCAATACGCCATTTATAGGGGGCTCATTTGAAGGATCTCCACGACCAGAGTATGAGGCAAACGGGCCCCCGATATTCCGAACAGGAGATATGCCTCATCCCCCGGTTAATCAATCCCAAGGGTACTATGTTCCCAACGACGGTAGAAGCGGGCTGCGAGTCATCACCCAAGTGGTAGACGGTGTTTCCAGAAACCAAATGCAATAATATGAGCAAGAGATGGCAACTTCATACCACTATGCCAAAGGCATCAGGCATATACACTACGGCGGACACAAATAAAACAAGAAGTGCCAAAAAGAGTTTCGTTCAGCGCAATCATGAAGCGATTGCCCTTCTATTAGGCATCCTACCACAGCAATTGTCACCCAACCTCGAGCAAGATAATTTGGCAGGGGAAGAACTATATTGCATAAAGCAGCCCATCTAGTACGTGGACCGTGGAGAGAGAGTTGGGCCGGCATGATTCAAGCCACAGGATTACTACCACTACTATTATCTCTTGGCGAGCAAGGTTTACCTCTGGATATATTCCCCGGCGCTTTTCGAGGAATATGGATCGTTGTTACTGGAGTGACGTGGTTTGACGGCGAATGCTCTAGTAACTTCGATTGGGTACGATGTGTTGATATATAAGGGGCTGTGATATACCGCAAGAGAAAAAGGTTGGCGGAAGGCATTTTGATCATTTGGTTTTAATTTTGAAGAATATGGCACAATTTTATTTTTACTTCCTGAGAAGAAGAGAATCCACAGCAGCGCAATTGGTATCTTTGTTGCCTTGGGCCATGGCGTTTGAATGGATACATGATTCCGTTTCGGACGGATATTGGGCTCAGGCACGTTTGTTACACGGTAATGATTTACCTGTTGCTGCACCCTGATGACTTGGCGCGAGGAGAAAAAGGCGGCGAAGCTAGTTGCCCATAGTATCCGTTCCGAAGACGGAGGGGCGTGGCAGTCTGTTTAGCGCAGCAAGCGGTTCTTTCTCCGGCGCAGCGTGTTTAGCAACTGTTTTTGATTCCTTTGCGTCTACGGCTCATGGTATTTGTCCTTGGAGAAGATTGTAAGCGTTTCTTACGGCTAGCGAGTGTCTGGACGGAGGCCAAGGGCAAGTGCCTGGCGAGTCTACGAGACGAGACTTTCATAACGCTCCCTCGCCAGCAACTGTCTGCCATGGGTTGTATGGTCTCAAGACAGAATGCTGTTCCAATACATTTCATGGGCTCATGCATAGCCCTGACATGAACGTTACATGGTTCTCAGTCGGGGCTTGAGTTACGGACTTGAGTTACATTACCTCCTTGTTACCTGTCTTGCTTGCACTCTTGGATGTATATATGTGACACGGTGTTATTGTGGGTGGAGCGGTTTTTTGGTTTCTTACGGGCATTTCTTACGCTACCATGACTGAACGTCCTACTGTTTTTATGTTTATGCGAGGCGCATCGGGCTTGTGAGCTTAGCGCGTGGGACCTCGGGAGAGATCCTTGGAAACAAAGGGGCGTGCAAAGACAACTAGGTGGGAAGCTGTCAGGTCAACAAGACTTGGACAGCGGGGGGCTGTAATCTAGGTTGGGATGGCACAGGCGCGTCCCAAGGCAGAATCTCAGACCAGAGGAGCGGGATTTGGATGGCGTTTGGATGAGCCGAGCTGAAGGTGAGAGATGAAGGAGGAAGGCGAATATACAGTGCTCCGTATTTACTATGCCACGAGACGAGACGAGACAATGATGCTCGTATCCCGACCAGTCAGCACGAGGGTCTGGGTTGGCTCGGGCCAAGGAAGCAGAGCTGTTCGGGCTGTTGGCAGGAGTGTCGGAAGAACGAGACTAGGATAGGATTTAATGGTGAGCACTGACATATTTGTTGCGGAGCAATGCCCCCAACTCTGTGGTTTCGTTGTGATGATGGACTCCCGGAGCGAATGAGTGAGCGAGGACAAGTATAAAGGGCGAGAGAAAGAGAGAGGAAGATTGTGGTCCACCATGACCATGTCAGCAACGATACGCAATAGCCAAGTCTTCCCATTCTACACATACCATGTCCTGCCAGTCCTGTGGCGGACCAAGATGCTCATTGACGTGTCACCGGTAGTAGGAGAAGCACATGTTGGTCGAGGTGGAGCAGAGTCTGAGGAGACAAGTACCGGGACGGTCCGGATATGAGTTGTGTATGTACATGCGTCCATTGCAGCAGCCGGCCCCCAGGGACGGGTATTCCAAGGCGGATGCGGAGTGCGGAGCATATAATCTACAACTGCGTCCTCGTACTACTACATTAGTACCAAGAAGAATGCAATAAACAGCCCCGGCCCGCCTTCCTTTTTGGGTCAAGATTGACCAACGGCAGCAGCCCGGCATATACATGGCAATATCCAAGAGCCCATGGGTTCGTGGCAGAAGCTGGCCTTGCACGGGGTGTGGACTCTGGAGCTGACTGACGAGGAACATAGATAAGACGAGAGAGAGTATAACCCCGGATCCCCGCGACAGCCGCCGCAGGAACGTCCTTCTGGCACGGGCGCGGCGCGCGGACAATTTGTAGGCTGAGCGGCTGATTCCTCGACATGCGCCGCGGTTGTGACGCCCGGCGGCGGCGAGGGCCTCGCAGATCAAACATGGGCCGCCGGCGGTCTGGAACCCTCAAGCAAGCATGCAGTCTTGCTCGCTTGGCCGATTGGCATTGGGATACGATTGGGGAGGCACGAGGAGGCGCATGGGGAGGGCATTTGCTGCGCAGCGTGGCCATCTGGGAGGATCTTTTTTTTTTGTCTTTTCTTTTTCTTTTCCGGCCGGGGGTGTTGATTCCTTGCATTTTGGCCGGATACGGAACATGTATAAAGGACCCAAGGACATAAAAAATGGTGAGACACTGTGGCGAGGGGGGCGTTTTGATGGACGCATGGTGTCGACGCAGGGCCATGATTTGCGACGGACTGTGCAGAACCTTTCTATATGTAGACCTGGAATTGCTCGCCCAAACAACACTTGAGATTATCTACACCATCGGTTGGGCTGTGTGTCTCGAATGCTTAGACACGACGAACCAACAAGGCAAGACAATAGTTCCTCAAAGCTCCGGTTTCCATGCTGGACCTGGGAGCAACCCGTTTCTGGCCAGAGCCAAGGTCCGCTGCTCTCCCAACACAGAGCATGTTGGTCAGGTCGAGAGTCGAGACATTCAATCTCCATTGGCCTCCCCTGGCCCCCGAGGGCAAGGTTCAAGGATCGAGGTTGGACCTGGTGTCGGCCGGAACCTTTCTGGCCCACCCTTGAGCAGAGCAAATACATACATACAGAGTACATACATACTACCAGTACTCCGTACTCCGTATGTACAGATGTACATATATATGGTTGACGTTGAGTCTGTGCGGTGGCAAGGCTGGACATGGCTTCCTGTTTGGAAGAACAAGGACCAAGACGACGTATCCGAACCGCGTTGCCTGGTGGTTCCGCCCATGCAGGGCAGACATGCTCAGACGTCGTGATACGCGAAAGATGCACATGCGGTTTTTTGTCCCCTTCTTGTTCGTTTGTTTTTTGGCATGCCTCGCGGTCGCATGCCATGTCGTGTACCTACATCTATCTGGTGCTATTCGACACACCAATGCCACACACCCCCCTTCGGCCTGCAACCCAACCGTACTCCTACCCGTACGTACAATCCCGCGGTACGACCAACACGTCATGTACGGATTATGTACGACTGCATTTGCCATACGACCGGGATCAAAGCTTGTCCTGCTGTGTAGCGTGGCCGGACAAGATCCGGGCCTATCGAGCGTCACCAGTGACGCACATGGCTCGCGCGGCCAGGCGGACGACTTTGTACAGTGTAGAGCATCTGCCGAGCATGTACTCCGTACGGAGTACAGAATGCAGTCGTGCTCTGCCGCGGTTTTCTGCTCTCTCTCTCTCTCTCTCTGCAAAGTTGCGGATTTGCGCATTCGGCAGCAAATGCCGTGCAACAACGCAACGTAGTCGCCAACAATTTGCCATGGCACGAGTCGCGCCGTATGTGTATACCCTGCGTCACGTCTCACGCAAAAAACGTAACCGGGCTTCAACATCCCTCTGCTGCCGATCCACAGCAACGATTCAGCTGCGGGCGGGAGCGCGGGACTCGTCTTGGCACGTATCGCCAGTGCAACTATCCATCGCCCTTGGGCCACCCCCGTCGGCATCTCCATGCCTCTGAGGAGCATCTGAAGTGTGTCGCCGGGAAATAAAGAGGGGATGGGTAACGGGGGGGTGCGGAGCAATGCGCACACATATGCAGTCGACCTCCGATTGAGTTTGGCTAGTCGATGTCTTTTTCTTTCTTTCTTTTTGCCTAAAGGGATCATCAGAACCGTTGAGGGCCACATGAGAAGATTGCTTGTATGTATACTCTGTGCGCCTCACTCTGCGTACAATTGCAATTGGACAGCAGCTGGCTATAGTCGAACAGCCACCGAGTCACACGAGGCGTCTGCTCGGGCGGCCAGGCTTTGCGACGACGACACGGCCACTGGCACTAAGCAATAGTCATGACACAGAGAGTACGGGTACGGAGTATACATAATGCCATTGATCGACTTGCCAGGGGAGGAGGAAAACGCCCCGAGTTGGTTGGAGTTGGCGCCGTTGTGAGTAACGGAAACCAACTCGGTCCTTCCCCGGCTAAAGTCCAGCGTGGAACTAGCGCGCGTCAACACAGGGTGACGACTTGCGATTGGCCGGAAAGAGTCCTGGATAAAAGGGCAACCGAGCTAGTGTCACCAAGAACTACATAATTCAGCTCTTGGTGAATCCGCCCAGAGACATGATTGGGACACGGGCAGCCGGCTAGCAAGCAAGCAAGCTATCGCAATACCGAGTATCGACGCCGAGGAGGCGTAGGTTTTTGCCGAAAACGGAAAACGGAGAGATACTAGCCGCCTTCTGCCAAAAAAGACAAAATGTGACAGAGTTTCACGCCGCAGCTACAACACGTCCGATCTTTTGATCTCATGCCAGATCAGATTTTGGGGTCGACGATGCCGACAGACCATTGCCCTTGCCCTTGCCCGCCTTCTGCCAGGGGCGGGCGTCTGAACTCTATTTCGTCTCGGCTCGATTTTGATACTGGCAGCCATTCATCCCCTCTGCCGAGTTCCGTTGCATGCAGCCTGGCGCACGCTACAAAGAAGGCAGGATTTGAGGCGGCGAGGGGAGAATCTT